AAGTCAACCTATTTAAACGTAGTGACATGTCAAGGAATATGAAAAAGCTAAAACGTTGAATTTAAATTGTAATGTCATCGCAGTACTGTCTAATTTTACTTGCTTCGCTGTCAGTCGAACAAACGAGGACTAGAGCGTGAATGACGCTCTGTATACGATTTTAACGCCCTATAAGTTCGGACACTTTTTAGCGCGTACCCGACGTCCATATAATTGTAAGTCAATGTTAGGTAGTATAGACTCTTAACGATATAGAACGTAAAATTCCGAATTGAACCATGTAATATGACGCACGCCAAAAATGTCCATTATTTTTTTTAAACCCATACATTTTATTTGGTCAGTTTTATAATTTGAATTTGAAAATGGAATTGACCAAAAAAAAAATACGTTAGCGTTAAAAAAATCTTTTAAAAACGCCATATTTTCAGTAGTTTGCAAAAACTTGCTTGATCTTTTGATGTGTGTAATTAACCGACTTTAAAAATGGACTAGGTTCTCAATTCGTCTGTATTTTTTAGTGTTACGTGATTACATGATGATTTGTGGACCGTTTTTTTCGACAATTATTTTTGGAAATAATTCTACCTCTAAGGGTGGCAAATTAGGGAATGAATCTGGTTTATAGGATTTCACCCTCTTTACGTTAACCGATTGCAATAAAACTTGGCAAGTAGATGTAATCCCACAAAGTTGAGGTTGGTTTTTTATGAATATTATTAATTATTATTATTGTACTTAGCTGAGTGAAGAAATTTTCATAAGTTTCCCACCGGCGCTGTGGCAAAAAGATCCGTATAAACCCAATACAAACATCCGCAACAAGCACAGAAAAATTCGTAAGATCTGCTGATTCGCTCTATAGCTCAGCTGGCAGAGCGGTAGCCACGTTGAGGCAACAGTCGCTGGTCTCCTTCGACCCGGATAGACTCATGAACAGCTGGCTCGAAGGAAATTTTCTTTGTGTTTGTTTGATACTTATATCAATAATAACATGTAATATATAATTTTTAAGACTTGATCAGATGTGTTAAGGTAATTAATATTTAAGGCTCAATTCATATTGCGGTGGAATGGAACGGTCTGTGAACGGTTCTTACGACTGCGCCTTGAGGATGTGCTATTTCGTCGACGTTTGATGTCACACTGCGTGTTATATAATACAATATTATAATACAATACATATGTTATATAAATACAATACAATGTATAATCAATAGCTAGATAAGTATTTCGAATGTAAACATACTCACCTAATCATGTAAACACTCACTAAGGAAATGCTAAGGTCCATTTCACAATAGTTAACTAATGATGTATTACTTAACTAATTATGTTTAACTATCTCATCGTTTTTCTACTATATAATCTTAAACCATAAGAACTGTAATTGATTACTATTTCCTAACTCATAGACATCACATCTCTGTAAAATACTTATAATTTAATAAATATATTTTTTTTAAAAGTTCTCTCGCTGCTCATTTGGTAACATGCGCCTGCCTTGACGCCACACTCCGCGGATTTGTCAGACGTCGCCGATGGCAGCGGAATTCTCACGAATGCGCGAGCATTCTTGAGCATGCGCCACGGAAGACGCGCGACATGATTTTTGGCTCGTATCTAGTTTGTACGCTACACAATTGACCATAAAGTTCATTACGCTATGTACAATAACGTTACAAAAATTCACTGCCGTTTTGCCGCAATATAAATTGAGCCTAAGGCATTTTACATGGCGTACCTTTGTTGTTGAGTATACCTGTTGGCCTACAGAACTGGTGTGACCGACGGTAGAGGTATGCAAGTGTTACAATAAATTACATAAAAGTTACGCAGAGAACTCGTTAAATGATATTAATTTTTAAAACTTACTTAAACTTCGCTCGTCAAGGTACTAAGGTTCGTGTTGTGAGTGACGACACGCGCTTGGAATGATTCAATATTAAAGCGTAAGCTTCTACAAAAAAAAAAGATGGTTCTAGAAAGCTGTAGTTATACACTGCTCTCTGCTGCTGGAGAAGCTTATGAATGCCCCTGATAAAGTAGCTAGAATGGACGGCGAAATATATTTTTAGTAGCAGTAGAGCTCCTTGTGAAAGAGACCTTACCTATTTCTGCTGCTAATGTGAGAATTACTACGTTCCAGTTTTGATGGGTAAGGGTGCTGGTGAAAATACAGGCACATGAGGTGTGTCAACTTATGTCTCCGGAGGCGCAGTAGCAGTGTCCCTCAGATCTTTGCGAATTAAAGCTCTGAGTGGCACTGCAACTGCTATGAACAGGCGTGTCGCTTAGCACCAGGCGTACGACCTGTAAGTCCCATTACTTGATATCATAAAAAATTACTTGCTATTGGACTAAACAGGGTGGAAATTTCATACATACATACTACGTTGTCAATATATTACATTCCTTGTGTGTAACCTGGTATTATTTATTAAATGTCACTACGATATATAATGTTCAAGTTTTTGGCGGTGGTTGACATTTCTCTAGCCTCAGTTGGTCCTGTAGAGACTTTTGATTTACCAGAAATAGGAATCGGAAGGCATAAAAACAAAATTTCGTGAAAATTGCTTTTATCTTGCTGACCATTTCTTCAAAATCTGTGAATACCAATGGAAATATCTTCAAAATTCATGGACAGTTTTCGAGGGCTGTTTTCCTGTAGCAATGCCGAATAACATAGCTGCCCTTGCTGACCCGTCTTAAATTTCCACCCTATATAAAATCAGACCATGGAGGGTGTTCTGCATATTTGTTCCAATGACAGCTTCGAGGTAATGAGCATTAAAGATTTTTGACAATCTTAGTCATTACTCTGTTAAATCTTGAAGTTAAGTGATGTATATATCAAAAGATTTGTAGTTAATTAATAACGTACACACTCAACATAGCCCCGCACTAGGCAAACCCTGTGTCGCGGGTACCATGGACACACACAGACAATCACAAATTACACCCAAACTCACGAGAGAAATAAATGTAGTCCATATTTGTATTTCTCCCGGCCCGGGAAACGAACCTGCGACCTCCGCGTGGCAGTCCGGCATGGTAACCGTTCGGCCACAGAGGCAGTTAAGTATCAGTATCGATCAGTTTATTATTAATAATTAAATAGAAATGTTTATGCGAAATCCAATATATCAACAAAATTACAACCTGTATACATATAAGGGTGGTTAACATATTTTTACAAAATACGTATAAAGTGAAATCGTATTTTCATAATGAATAATACATTAGGGAAAAGAAGTTTAATCATCTATTATTCAACCAAGTAACAGCAGTCTTATTTTTGTAAGACAGTACGGTGTATTAAATAATCTGTCACATTCTTTGACCTGTGTAATTCTGAATGAATAGATAATGAGTCCAGAGTCTTTATTAAAAAAAATTGATATCTCATTTCAATGAAATATGATTTTAATTTTATTTAATTATGTTTATTTTTGAACGACAATGGCGTCTAGCCTATTCCCACATGACTATTTGTTGTGACTGTGTTGTGGACGTTTATTTTATCGTTGAACGACAGTCGTGTCTAGCTGTTCCCACTAGATCGTGACCACAATTCATCGGTTCACGGCAGCCGCCTTGTCGTTTGCATGACAGAATTGTTTGAAGCTACGATTATCTGCTGTCACATTTTTATCGTGACGTTTTATTTATCACTAGTAGTAGTCGGACGACAGTCGTTATAGCTCTTCCCATTCAGACAGTCTGTCAGCGTCAAAAAAGTCGTGAAAGATGGTTAATCGCGTTTTACTATTTGTGACACGACACTTTAAACGCACGACTGTCTATCGTCGTGACATAATGGGAACGTGCCCTTAAACAAACTAAAATAACATGAAATATGAAAACAAAACAGAAATTATAACCCAGTTACTAAAATTTTCAGTTAGGTGAATGTAAATAAATCATATACCCAATAAACTTTTGTCAGACATACAGTACGATACTAATTTCAACATTGGAATCAAATTTAGGTACTTATTGTTATACCTACATTATCATTACCTTATCGCCATTATTGTAATAGAATAATATGACCAAGCATTTTGACTTCAGCAAAACGTAATCATTAGCCCCTTTTACACGGAGCGTACGGGATTGCGCACGGGAAAGCCTGCACGCGCAGCCATGCGCGATTACCTGTTTGGAATTTTTAGGCTACCGTTCTTTCGCGCGCGATTGCTCGTGTTTGTTGTTACAAAGAAAACAGCGTGCGTGTAAAGGCTAATAGCGCAGGATAGACCGCGTGAACCTGGAACATGTTGGAGTGCGCGATTGCGCGCGCGACTGATGGGCGCAAGCAGCAGGTCTTTCCCTTTTCTCATTTCTACAGCTTTCACTGCTTTCGTACTTCTTCTGTCTCACCAAAGACTCATTACCGTACAACACGTTTGCAATACGTTTTGCAGCAGTAGAGCTCCTTGTGAAAGAATTCGTCCAGGGAACTACTACCTTACCTATTTCTGCCGCCAATGCAGTAATGTCAGTATTACCGTGTTCCAGTTTCGAAGTGTAAGGGTGCTGGTGAAATTACAGGCACATGAGACTTGTCAACTTACGTCTCAGGGTGACAGGCGCAGTGGCAGTGCCCCTCAAATCTTTGCGATTTAAAGCTCTGAGTGGCACTGCAACTGTTATGGACAGGTATTGCGTACCATCAGGCGCACGACTTGCTCGTCCCGTCACTTGATGTTATAAAAAAACACATTTGGGACCAGTACTTTCTTGACATGTTTTGTGACACTTTATTTGAAGTAGTTTAAAAATAATATTAAACCTCATGTTCCAAGGTATAAAACTGTATTCATGAGTCATTTTCTAATTTTCTGTAGGTTGCCTCATTCATGCAGAACACTGCTCATGTACGCATTATAGAATTCAAATTTTGACATTCACAAGACTGATGATCCCATAAACAACAACACCATAGATCAATTAACTTTGGTCAACCAATCCTTTAACTTAATTTCTCTTTCCAGCATCCGAGTGGCCAGTGATAAATAAGCCTTTAAAAGTGATAAGAACCAAAGAAAACAAGCTGTCGAACAGATTCTTCCCGTACGACGAGATCGAGACTGAGTGTCAGCTCACTATTGACGACGACATAGCTATGCTGACGCCTGACGAACTTGAATTTGGGTAAGTGATTTGAAGAAATGACGCTTTTGTAAATGTAAGCATTAAGGTGTAGACGGTCGTAGTTCTCTTTTTATGATAAAATAAGTGCGCATTTGACCTCCATCTGACCTGACGGAAAGTGACGATGAAGTCAACAATGGAGCATGCACAGCTAAATAATGCCTTCTAAACTCTCGCCTTATAAAGGGCCAAATTATAACGATCAGGGAATAAGTCTGCAGGCAAAGAATTCCGCTCAATAGCCGTTCGCCATATAAATATGGAAGCGTAAAGCTTCGTGGGAATCTTTGGAATATCCACAACATAGAGGTGAAACCCCAGCCTACGTTTAGTCCTCCGATGGTCACATTCTTAGTGATATATCCTGCAGAACACCGATAAGCAGGCAACTTTACGGCAGTGTGTAAGGCTTTATGGCGTCGCCTCTACTAAATCCTAGCCGATCACCTGTAAGCCTCTTGACACGCTTTTTCACGGCCAGTTGGTATTTAGCAGAATAATACTTCATAAATGCTTGAGTTTGGGTGAGAGACTTTATTCCTTAGCAGAAATATGTAACAAGGTATCACATGTGAAAATACATCTTTATATTAGCGTCTAGATGTTCTCTAGCTTTCTACCTTTAGCTGGCTGACTTTTCTCTAACGAACTTAAATATGTATGCTTCATTTAAATTAATTTTAGGTTTATTTAATTAAAATGTTGTTATTCGCAAATGTGTAACGAGAGAAGCATGACCTTGAAAGTACTCTACCATTTTCCTCTTGTTTATAGTTACGACGTGTGGCGCGAATTCCCAGATCGAATAGTGGGATTCCCGTCTCGGCTCCACGTGTGGGATAATACAACGGGTTGGAAATATCACAGCGAATGGACCAATCAAATCTCTATGGTAATAAGTTTAAAGTTTCTATTAAATATTTGCCATTTAAAAGTGCTTGGATGACAAAAATCTATGGGAGCGATCCGTTTTCCTCTTTCAGGTTCTTCCTATATGATAATTTTATTAATATTGTTCAATGTATACAAATTTCTATTTACAAATCCTCTAAGGGGAATCTACGTTACGTATGAGTAGTGGTGTTTTTTTTATGTACAGTCAAGAGCACGTCTAGCTTGACACTTCATATAAGCATGGAGTTGGATTTAAGTCTTAATTGTCAAGTTTGACGTGCTCTTGACCCTGTACGTGTGGAGGAACAAGTCGTATGCATGGTGATAAGCGACACGCCCTTCCATAGCAGTGTACAGATTGCTTAATAGACGGTGTCAAGTGTTATATGCTTATCTATGACGTACATTTATTTTGATTTTGATAAGGATTAAATATGAATCATTTCAATATTGTGTACGGTTGTCATGATAAGAAAAGAAGCGGTGGTATCTCAGTAGGAGAACCGTTGCTTAGTTTCAAATCCCTTTGGCTACACTGAGCCACTGTTATCGTTAATAAATAACATCACCAAAGCCAAAGGTAAAGCAGCATTTTAGTCCTAGGCTTGTTTATACCATTCCAATAAAGTTGCTTCAATATTATAAACACCACAATCGTGGATCGCTATTCAATTGATCCCAATCAACAGTCCTGCGCTGCGCGTGCGCACAAGTGTGTAATCATGCCGCCTTTGATTTGTGGACTGCGAGCTATTTTAGTCAGCCTTCCTTCTCTTACGTTTGCTTTCAGTATGTTTTGTTTATGAGCAACTTGTTTCTATGAAATTTACTTCCAATATTGCGGATTTTACAGATATGAGATTTCTTTAGTTCTTTCTCTAGAATAGACTCATATGGAGTAATGGAAGTTATGCGAGTTAATACAGTACCAATTTTAATGTGGTGTTAGGTCAGTTCCATACAGTAAACTTTTGAAAATGTAACTATTCCACTGGCGATAAGGTGCTCTTTTGGTTGAAATTCGTATGTAATTAAACGGAAGAACATTCAAAGATCATATTATAACAATTAATTTTGTGATTCTTTTATGAAACTCAAAAGCGCTTAAAAACAATTGTGGTTATCGGAACAAAAGGTGTGAGGAGCAGCGTTCAATTTTTTTAAATTATTTATTTATTAATATTTTTTATACATGAAAATGACATCCAAATACAAAACAATTATGTACTTTAGTATTATTTAAATTAATATTCCAAAAAAGAATGAATGCGGGTTACACCACTTTTGCGCTGATAGCCCTATTGCAATGTCACATTTAGTCCCCTTTCGTCTAAATAATCGTGTTAAAACTCAAGTTTTCGCGATTGTTACACATTCAATTTTAACACGTAGAAAATGAAAGCACGGATCGGAGAACCAGACCGCATGCTCAGCACGTTGCACAAGTTGGCCAAGAGCTTCTAACGCATCCTACGGGCAGCTGTAGCTACTGGCGTCTTGCAAGAACCATTACTTCAAACTTCTGCTTACCCTCGCTCCCCCGCTGAGATGCTCTGACGGAAGTCTAGCCCACAAGCCGCAAGAGAAAGCCGATCTCCTTGCAAATCTCTTTGCGTCTAACTCCCGACTCGACGACTGCAACACACAACCACCAACTCTCCCTTACTGTGGCCACACGATGCCTGATGACGCGCTGAAACCGAAAGGGAGCGTTCAGATCTTGTCATCGGGCTCAATGGGGTTTTGGACCTCATACATGATTGGGGATCCAAAAATCCAGGTCTGCGCGTTTAAGGCAAAATTGACACTGTTCCTTTCCGCGCTTTCTCTGCGCTGCTGCGATCTGAACCCAAGGAGTTACATTGAAACGGTGATCAAAACAGCTTCACGAAAACTGGGTGTCCTGAACAAGATGCGTCGTTTCTTCACGCCTGACTAATTATGGCTGTTGTACAAAACACAAGTTAGGTCTTGCGTTGAGTATTGTTCGCACCTCTGGGATGGCTCCGCCAAGTACCTTCTCGATGCCTTGGACAGTTTGCAGCATCGCACCTCACGTGTCATTGGCGATGAAGAGGTCTCATCACACTTTGAACCTCTACAACTGCGTAGAGTCGTTACATAACTTAGGGACTTTTATCGGATGTACCATGGCGAGTGCTCTGAAGAACTGTTCAACCTTATCCCACCCTCCCTTTTCCTGCTCCGAAGCACGCGTGCTGGCCTTCGTAGCCATCGTTTTACAACGAGCCGAATTCCATCGAGAACTAAAAGGTTTGGAGGCACCTTCCTCTGTCGCACAGTTGAGAAATGGACTCCCTTCCAGTGCACGTATTCCCTCCGTCTTACGATATGGGGTTCTTCAAACGAGGCGTGAAGAGGCATCTTGTACGCATGCAGGGTGGAGGTGGCTAGGGTGGTGATTATATTAACACTGTACTAGCTTCCTTCACGTTTGGATTTCATGTTACATCTGGTGGAATGGGAGTCATCTGCATGTCATGTATAAAAAGTCGCCTGTATTTCTTTTTTAAAACAATCAAACGTTTCTGGCCTTTGCAGGTCCCATGGTCACGCCACACGGCTGACTTTTTTTATTAAAAAACCCGACATCAAAATTTAGTTTTAAAAGTTTTATTGAAATTGGTTACCGCAAAGAGCGCGGGTTCATCCCCATGTTTTGTGCTTTCAAATTTAAATGGGACCAATACTGAGGTACCCTCTTTTCATCAAAAAAAGAATCGTCAAAATCGGTTCGCAAATGCGAGTTATCGCGTAACATACATACAAAAAAATACAGTCGAATTGAGAACCCCTCCTTTTTTGATGCCAGTTAAAATATATACGCGATTTAAATCCGATAATATAGGTTCATTACCTACGTGTTAAAACTTACAATCATACACAAAAGATAGTAGATCTAGGCGAACAGATTGTTGCTAGACAACGTTGTATCGACTCGACGACATTGCTAATTCTAGTTACCTTACATGATAAGATTAAAACAAGATTGTGGGTCATTGACTTGGACTTACATTAGAGGTATTCTCTTTAGGATTTGTTGTATTCTGCGTGGGGTTAAAATTATATTGAAACAATAACTTTATTCTAAAGGCTATTATAGCAGCTTCTGCGTACTTGGATGATAAAATTCCGTGGTAGCGATCCGTTTGGATTTTGCAGGTCTTCTCGATCGAAGATGTTTGAAATAAGTATTGTAAATGATAAATGTTTTCTATAGTATAACCCCTAGAGACCCCTAAGAAAAGTATGACCCCTAAGAGCAACCCCTAGAGTTTCGTGCTCATTCTTCTCAGAGGAAACTGTCTTACGAACGGGCAGTAGAGTTTAATCAATATGACGACTTCAAGTGTAATTTGCATACTATGAAAGAAAGATTATTTGACCTTGGGTAGTATTACAACAAAATTGTTTCGTTATCTCATAGCTATTTGCTTCCTTTTCCCAGAACTACATACGTGTGTATGTATTATCGAGAGAGGCGCGTTGTCTAGTACTTTCGCAATGTCCCTCAGCTAACTTCGTGTTTCGGCTGTCGTTGGGTTTTATCCAGTTGCCCTTTGGCTTTGGTACAGACCGTACGCTTTCAGTCGACTTGGAAGCATGTAGAGTTGCTATTACATTTTTTAATTACTATCCAACGGGAGGAAAGCCGCTTAAGTCACACGACAGATAATTTACAGAGTGTACTTGTATTTTTTACAAGAAGCCGATACGTTCAAGAAAAACAGCAATAGTTATTTTCAAAAAGGCCGTAAACGTGTTTCTGTAGCTTGTGATGTTTCAATGGGAACAGTAAAGAATTATTAAAAAAAATATTTATTAAAAATAGGGGATTAGTTTTACAGCTCTATATAGTTCACACGGATATCAAAACAACAGTAAAGTACGTTACTCGAAATTCAAATCATTACATATTTTGAATTTAATAGTTACTGGGCATGGAAATTAATATTCGTGTACATTCGGAAATCCGAGGATTACCGAGTGACATTGAGAAAATAGAAGCACTGTACATACAAATAAATATACAGGATGGCCCGGAAGTGATGGTCAAAACTAAATGGGGAGGTAGGGTTGAGTATTTCC